CCCCCCCCCCCCCCCCATTTCCTGCATTAAGAAAAAATATTTTTACCCTTATCTAATTTCCTGAACTTAACCATATTGATTTACAAACTTTTTTCAGATTTTTGACTTCCACTAGTTACTATTTAAGATTAATTAAAGTATTATTGGAAACAAATTGTTGATGGAGGGAATCTCCTGCATTTGCAAAAAGATAAGAGTGTCATGGCTAACTATTATCATAAACTTATTGTGCCTGTCTATCTGCCTACTTATGCCAAACTAGCAAACATCCTTTGTTTCTGTTTCAGCCTCAGATTAATCATAGACAGATTTGTAGTTTGGCACTGTTGGAATATTACTCTTAGAGGAAAGCGACTAGAGTGATGGCTAGTAGATATATGGAAAACGTAAATATAATCCCTCAGATGATTACAGTGTTCTGCAGATGCTGCTCTCATGTTTTCAAACATATTTCCAAATCCATGAAATCTAGAAAGTTTGTTCTCCTAAAAGAAAAGAAAAGTATGGTTTTCAGGTATTTCAACAATCTTTTATAACCTGTCATGTGACGAGCAAATAGCAAATGTTCGTCTGTCCCAGTTGAAAAAACAGGTATTCCAGGGCAGTTTCTGGGACTTCCAGCTAGGCTTATTATATCCTTGCTTTGTAAGAAAGCAGACCAGAATTTTTAACTGTCCTACTTAAGATAGTACTTTCTGTTTGCATGGAGTCTATACATGAAACCTCCCCAAGTGTCCCTTTTTATTAAAACATGGGAAAATATGAAAATAAAAGTTTGCTTAACTAAATTCTGGTTAAGTCTGAAAGATTTGTGTGTGTATGTATTCTAAACATGGAAAACATTTCGTATTTCATATGACAGTGAAGCTTTCCTCAGTCTTTCAATAAATTCTTAACTAAATGAGTTTCAAATGGTTCTTGGTTTATGTTCTTAATTATTACAATTGCTCTCACCAGTCTTCTATACATCAGATGTGTGTAATAGTGTATTTGAAATTTACTGTAGCAACCTGAATTTATAACGCAGCCATCTGCAACAGTTCTGATAAAAATAATCATTCTTGAATTTGCTTTTTTTTTTTCTGTAGGCAAATCCAAAACTCGGGAAAATCGTCAGTCTATCATCAACCCTGATTGGAATTTTGAGAAGATGGGTATTGGAGGTCTTGATAAGGAATTTTCTGATATCTTCCGGCGGGCATTTGCCTCCCGAGTATTCCCACCTGAGATTGTGGAGCAAATGGGTTTGTACCAAACATAAAGATAAATAGATACTACAATATTGTCTGAGCCCAGTGCAAATCACGGAAGTATCTTACAAACTGAAAATAAGGAACAGGATAAGGGCCAAGGCATGGATGAAAACATGGGTTGACAGGGATGGAATAGAAAATGCATGGTAGCAAGTAATGCAGAAAAGACTTGTGAGATAAGAAAACTAAAATATAGTTTTCCCAGAGCCCTTAAGCTGGGTAAAGTCAATAAAAATACAATAACCTTTTCAGTGTTCCAGTGCAAATAAAATCACTTTGTATATAGGCAGTTGGTACAGATTGGGTGGTGGTAGGTTCAGTGCACAATCAGCATGTGCTCTAAAGCTTTGGAACATATTAATTCTGCCAACATAGCCAACTGAATGTTCACTTAGCTCTAAAGTCCTTACGTGGCAAGAATTAGGAATTTCACTCAGCTGAAGACCAAAACACGACTTGAAGGCTCCTCCCATGAGGACGGTATCTACTTAAACACTTTCAAGTTGCTCCTGGGAGATGGACAGGATTGGACAAATTGCTTTTTCCTATAAAACAATTCGATTGACAGAGAATTGGAACCATTCCTGACTGTTTCTAGATTGGCTATTCTGCCAGCTTCAAACTCCTGATGATCCAAGCACACTCCTTAATTAAAACTGGAAGCATGTACCGTTCTTATGCTTCAATATGTTTCATTTTAGAGTGTGATAAAGAATGAGAAGGAAAGAGGTGGCAGAGATGCAGGGGGCAGCCTTTCCTTGTCTCATGGACTTGTTCTACCTCAACCAATTCAAACTTCTTTAATTCCTGCTGGCTAAGGATCTAGTTAATTTTTCAGAAGTCAGCTAAAGTGTGACTTCCTGCCAGAAGATGATGGGGACTGAGCCTCTTATAGCCTGAATGCCTGTTCTCCTGACAGGCTACAGTCTTCTTCAAATAGGGCTCTTGCTTTTTAGTAAGCAAAGCTTCCCATTCCAGTTCCATTTTCTTTTCGACAGGCCCCTCCCTTAGGCTAGAGAAGCTTATCTGAAATTTGAAGAAGAGTGCCGCTTCCTGACACTCATCCTTTTTCTCTGCATTAGTTATAACTTGCTTTTCCAACTATATTTCAGGGCTCAAATGCCAGGTTGACATCTGTTCAGGTTTGCCACAATAATTCATGAGGGGAAAAGAGAAGAAAGAGTTTCTTGGTTCTGTGTATAGCAGGAGCAGTTCCTTTCCCTCTCTGTCTTTTCTCTTCCTTACCTTTCCCTGTTCTTGTGCCTCACAAATGAAGAGTGATAAATATGCCAGCTGTAGCCTGGTGGGATCGATCATCTGCACTACAGTTTGCTTTAGAATGTGGGTTCTATAACTCTTCCTTTTGCAAAGTGGAGGGGGAAAAACAGGATATAAATCAACACCATTCTGCCAAATCTACAAAGGCAGCCCTATTGTGAGGCAGTAGATTTGGACTGGTAGATATTGGAGGTAGTTTTGACCCTGAGGTCATCCAGTCTACCATTAAAGTGAATAGTAATTGTTCAGAAATACAGTATGAAGGAGGAAGAAACATGTTTGTTCACAGTGAAGAAGAAGTTGCATTGAACCCCCCTCCCAAATGCCACAGAGAAGCTTATTAGTTTGTTTTAACAACAAAGTGGGGAAGCTTGTGGCATCTTAAAGGCTAATATATGCATAGTGAAAAAAGCTTTTGTAGGCTTCATCCAGCAGTATCAAATGATGAAATTAACTTGAGTCCAGAGAAATTCTTGCTGCAATAAATGTAAATGTTTGAGGTATGTTGGGCCTCTTTGTCATTTCCCAGATCACTTGATTTTTATTGTCATTTTTATTTTATTCAAACAGAACCTCGAATGTTTGTGAATTAAGGGCCTTAATTATCATTTCAATGATCCAACATTTAAGTCCTATAGGTATTGCCCACAAGCATTTTCCATAGCTGCAGTTTCTAGGAATATTAATAGATAGTACTACGCCATAGGCTATAGTTAGTGAAAATGATGCCTGATAGGTGTGTATCATAATGAACTCCAAAATAGAATGGACATGTGTGCCAGTTTACTTATATCAAAAAACTATATCCAGAGAAGGAGACACTAGATTTATAGCTCTGTATTTGACAGACAATATCCATGCTAGATTTTTAAAAGCTGTAGAAAATTGCTGGTGATATGGACCAGTAATAAAGTTTAAAATACTGCCCACAATTGATGGCTGAAACAAGGTTAGGTGAGCTGCAACCCATCCATGCTGGTGGCCTTTCCTGTAATCTTCAAGCACGTTTTGGGCTGCCTTCTCATTTTGAGCTCTTAGAAAGTAAGGCTGCTGGTGTGTCTCCTCTGCGGCTGTGATTTTGCTAAAAGCCTAAAATTACAGTAAATGAAATGTAGTTAAAATAATAATAATAAAAAGCAAGCTTTCAGTCCCACTTTTGGGCTCAAGTTATTTTTAAATATGTGCAATTTTTACTTTTAGCCCAGGGCTTTTCTCAATGTGTATTAGGAATTCTTGCTTTAATCTGATTTTCTTTTTGTTTGCATTCCATCAGAAGAGATAATTGTTCTCCAGTTTGCATAAATCCTAGAGGGTCTATTGGTTCCAATTCATCTTCTTTCATTGTCATTTTTTTCTGCAGGTGGTCTTGGTTTTACTGTAGCACTGGAGGCCAATAGATATTATGCTTAAACACTTTCTAATCACTAGAAAGAGCCACGATGCATTTAGTTATTATCTTATCTGCCATAGAATAAAACTTTCCTATGTTCTGAAGTTCACTGCTCTGACTCTTACCATTGGATATGAGTGATGTGTGATAGGAAGAGCAGAAATATATAGAACATGGTTACAAAAATGGTTACAGGGATTGGACTTTTTCAATACATTCTATAGAACTCTGTCATTTTCACTGGATCTCAGTCTGTTTCCTGGGCCAATGTCATATGTTGGTGTAAGCAGCTGGAATTTTGGGCCTGGACAACAGTCTCTTGTAACTATGCAACCTTTTGTTTAAAGTTTTGTTTTAATTCCCAGCTGCAGTCAAGCCTAAAGAAAAGTACATTTACTAACATCCAGTACTTACTCTCCACATCTGTCCTATCTGTCTCTTGTTGTCTTCCACACTGTTGATATTTTGAAGTATAGCCTTCAAAGACAGGAGGTAACACCATGTCTCCTTTTGCTTATGAAACTCTGTAAGATGTTGTAGAAATGAATGATGTTATCAAAATGATAAAATCTTTTTGTCACCTGGCCATGTACTGAGCAATATGAGAAGTGTGGAAGTTTGAGTGAATGATACATCGGGAGCTACAGCAAAACAAATACTCCTGTAAATGGTATTTCAGGGTGGCATTTGCAAACTAGCTTAACGAGGTGGTTATCTCCTTTTAATTTGTATCAAATGTCAACCTACTGAGAATGCCACACTGACCACATTGTCTTTGGACCTTGATGTATCTCTTGCTGTGATGAGCATAGTTTCCCATGTGGATTGTGTATACTAGTGGGTGAGCAAATAATTAAAAACTGGTGCCCTGTTTAAGGAGTGACCTTTGATTAGCAAATGGCACTAAGCAGAGGCATTTAGATAGACCTATCTTAAGGAAGAGGCTGAGTTTTATAAGCTCTTTGTTAACAATGCTGACATTTGGATACACTGCCTGCCTTTCTCTCAGAAGGGAGATAAGGTGCAAATGCAAGTATTGCCCCAGTGCTAGAAGAGATATGGAGTGGCCTCATTTTGAAGTTTGTCATCACCTGTCTATTTGAAGGGAGGCCTGTCTTCATGTTTTCAGAGTCTTCCATGTTGGCCAGGTGGGGACACTTTGTACAGAGACTTCTGTTGGTTGCAAAGAGGCGAAAGTGTGGGGGAGGGCTCAGCAGTAGAGTATGTGCTTTGTACGGAGAGGGTCCCAGGTTTAATCTGTGGCATTTCCAGCTCCTCCAGTTCCTGCCAGTCAGCTCTACTGGCTTTTACCCTTGCTGATGTAGTATTAAACTCAGGGCAGCCCTCTGATAGCTGGTAGATTCAGGGCAGACAAAATATACTTCTTTGCAATACTGAACAGTTTAATTTTCAAAGAGGATTAGGCAACTTTATGGAGTGGGATGGAATAGGTCCATTAGTACTATTAGGCCTCAGATGGAACTTCCCACATTCAGAGACTTTATATCTGAGTGATCTATGATAATGTTAAACCAATAGGAAGTGTTATTGCTCTCACGGCTTGCTTCCAAGCTATGCGGAAGCATCTGGCTGAGTACTGCTGGAAACAGCACTCTTGGTCTCATCTGACAAGGCTGTTCATGATGTTCTGTAGAATTCTGATTAGATGGACTAGGAGAGAGCTGTCCCAGTCTGAGACCTTGGTGAGCTACACAACTAGAAAGTACCATACTAAGTTAGAATTAATAAACTGATTTCCTGTGTGGCAGCTTTGTAAATTCATATTGCTCTTTGTCAAGAATAATTTCAGAATGTTTGTTTTTAGTGCAAAGCTTCCATCTTACAATCAAAGCTTATCATATGAAGTGGAATTTGGGGATTGGGCTGCATGTTCTGAACATACGTAAGGTCTGCTGAGTTATCTCACCTGGCTTGTGCTACATTTCTGAAGCTTCTGAATACTCATGCCATTACCCATATGGTTAGGGGACTACAGGGGCTTTTATTATTTATTATTTATGGTCCCAAGCCAATAAAACAGAAGCTTGTAATATTGGTAGGTTGTCCTTAAGAGCTATTTCAGAAAAGAGGTTATTTGTAATGGCCGGAGACCAGGGACAAACAGAGTAGAAAAATATTTCTCCCTGGATCTCTTGGCTTGATGGACTTTTTAGAAAGTTTTGCAACTGGTCTGCTTCAAAACTTGTAGCAAAGATTGGCCGCCCTCACAGAGTTATAATAGATTTATTGTTCAGCTGCCAGCAGCATCCTTTTTCTGAATGCCTCAAGTTTACTCTCTTCAGAATTAAAATTGATGGCAAGC